TTTACATTGGGGTCCCCATAACATTCCTACCAGAGGGTCTGGTATGAATTGGGGGGCGGGGGGGGGATGAAAAAGAAACAAAGTCAAACTGTGATGACACTTTTCTGCAACGAGTTGTAGTCGGTGAGGATCGTGTAACTTTTTTTTTAAATAATAAAGTTTTATTGTTTCTAAGTGTTACGTACAACAAGTACCAGGATCATGTAACTTGTCTGAAAGTAACGAAATTCGCATTCATCTGAATGCCGAAACAAATTGACTTTCAGACCCGAAATAACGAAACATCCGACGACGAAATGTAATGAAAGGAATTTTCTGCGGCTGACGTGTCCGGAGGTCGGGGATCGGTAATTCCTTCGACTTCCCAAATAAAGAAACATTGTGACAATTCTCCATGTAGAAGAGAACGATCAGTGGAACTCTCCCATACACTATAATGGCGTTCGATGGGATTCTGCCCTAGACTGTGGCGCAGTACCTTATTGGTCCGGTTTTTGGGCGGCGCCGGATTCGACGCCGTCTCTGCTCTCCGCGAGTTTTGGGAGAATCTTTTTCCGGCCCTCGGTCCTCCCAGCTGCGCGGGTGAATCTCCTGCAGTCCAGATGTGTCAACTTTTTCTGACCTTCTGCTACAAATACTCTTTTGGATGCGCCCGTTTCCCCGGCAGAGCGCGGCGTGTGCGTGACAAGGGGGGAGGGTGAACATTTTCCGTCTCCGAGGGCCTGCAGTGCAGACGTGTAGCGGCCCATTGATCTGGTAGAAAAGATTTACTTGGTATTCCGCTGACCCAAATCTGTCACCGTCAGTCATCATAATCACCCGGAAAAAACGAATTCCTCGCTCCTGGGCCCGACGCTGCAATCTGATTGGCTGCAGATGTTTTTCATCATTTTGTAGCAGGTGGATTGTAGTTCTGTCTGGTGGGGGGAAGGGGGCTCATTTGTATCTCCGAGACCACAATCTGTATTCCTCACCTCTCCTTATTAAAGGGACCCGAAAGAACCCCGGCCTCCCCTTCAGCCGTATATCTGACCTCCGTCCTCCCCTTCAGTCTTCTATCTGACCTCCGTCCTTCCCTTCAGTCTTCTATCTGACCTCCGTCCTTCCCTTCAGTCTTCTATCTGACCTCCGTCCTTCCCTTCAGTCTCAATTCTGACCTCCGTCCCCCCCTTCAGTCTCAATTCTGACCTCCGTCCTCCCCTTCAGTCTTCTATCTGACCTCCGTCCTCCCCCTCAGTCTTCTATCTGACCTCCGTCCTCCCCTTCAGTCTCAATTCTGACCTCCGTCCTCCCCTTCAGTCTTCTATCTGACCTCCGTCCTCCCCTTCAGTCTTCTATATGACCTCCGTCCTCCCCTTCAGTCTGGCACAGTACCGGCTCCTCTCCTGGACTCGTACATTTAATGACAGGTCCTCTCATCGGGGGGGAAGAAATTCTATGAAATAACAATTTTGTTTTTCTCGTGTGGTTTTCACGCCTCCATCTCGGTGACACTCACTCGCCGCTCGGTGACACGTAGGTCGCTCTATGACTTCCTGTATGAGGACCATTCCAGGAAGAAGCTGCTTAACCCTTTCCGCTACTTGACCTCTGCGAATGCGTCTGCCATTCCGCTCCGCGCCCGGCTCGTCCTCCCAGGAATGATCAGGCCGAGCAGATGTCCTCCGACCTCCAGATTGGAGGATTCCATCTAGCAAAATTTTGCTTCTGTCCGTGAACTCCAGATCAGGTGACGAACACGACCGCGGCCATCTTCCCCGCTCTGACACGTGGTCGTGGCTTCCTCTAGTCGAACAGCCTGCGCACACTCGCTGCGAAGCTTTATTAGCACAGACAGTACTGTACAGTATTCAATCCAGCATGGCGCCAGAGACCGTGCAGAGCGGCAATGAATGTTCATACGGTTCAGAGCGGATTAACCTCATTTACATTGAACCCCAGGGGGGAGATTTGATTCGGCTCGCGCCCAGAGTCGTGGAACGAATTCAGTACGTGAGCCAAGGTGCCACTGTATCTCTTGTCCCCAGACACTGATCTGATTGGGTGACGCAGACACGTCCCCGCCGATTCACTTTTAAAGGAGAACTATGGGGGTCAGGGCTTTTCCCCATAGTTCTCCGAAGGGTAACGGGAGGACACAAACTAGCGTCCTCCCATCACCCTAGGCTCAGTATATAGGGAGCTACAGCTTGCGGTATACTGAGACGCCGCACCTGAAGTGGATCCCGACAATTGTGTCTGGATCCGCCCAGCTGCGTGATTGACAGCCGGCTCTGCCTATCTAGAGGCAGAGCCAGCTGTACCCGCCCCCTCCCCAGTCCGTTCCGCCAGTCAGCGCTGGAGGATCGGAGCGGGGAGGGGGGAATCCAGCCACTCCCCTGTAACGGCAGAGAGCCATGACAGGATCGAGAGGTGAGCGAACGCCGGTATGTGTTCTCTCACCTCCCGATCTACTGAGCCGACCTGTGACAGTCTCATTGTCACAGGTCGGCTAGAACTATGAGGTGAGTGAAAAGCACCCCCCCTCCCCCCTCATTGTTCTCCTTTAATGACAGGTCCTCTTAACGCTTCCAATTCCCGTGGGACAAATCTGAAGTTTTGTTCTTATTATCCACACAGAACGTTCGATGATCCGATTTGTTTTATCTGCAGGAAGTAGACAAATCTTTGTTGTTAAAATGTGAAATAAGGAAAGAAACCGGCGATACAACAAACCGCGGCGCGATCCCGGGGATGGAGTCACAATTGGCAGTTTAATGTGGAATCCGCCGTTTCCGGGACTTTCCCGCTCATCGCTGAACACGGATCTTTTTCCGTTTTCATTGCACACCTTATTTTAGACTCAGTGATGTCATCACTGGGGTCTCCGTGCTTCTCTATACAATGCAGGTAGATCATGCTTGGTTTGAGGGGCCGGCAGGGTGATGCACATAGCTTCCTGAGAACATCAGCCTCAGTACTTGTATACCTGATGCATGTGGCCACGGGCAGAGGAGGAAGTTCATGGGGGGGGAGGGGCTACTCCATATGAATGGTTCTGGAATGGGATGAGCAGTCCATGTAGGTGATGGGTTCACAAACCTTTGCTCGTACATGGTGTATGTTCTCATGAATCGTATGTTTGTTTTCTTCACACGTATTATAAAGGAAACAGAAAACAGGAAGTTTTATTTACCTCCAAATGTTGTGTTTTTGGTGTTTTCAGTTTCTGCTCTTTTACCCGAAATTACTTCAGTTTTATGCGTCCGTACAAATCACTCCGACCTGAAACGTTCACATTCATTGTACGACGCGGGGACACCTCTGTCTGTCCGTAGAATCTCGGCGACCTGATGTGGGTTCGGCCCGGTCACACACACACACACACACACACATAGACACACAGACAGACAGACACACACACACACACACATATAGACACACAGACAGACACACACACACAGACAGACACACATAGACACACACACACATATAGACACACAGACACACATAGACACACAGACAGACACACACACACACATAGACACACAGACAGACACACACACACATAGACACACAGACAGACACACACACATAGACACATACACACACACACACACATAGACACACACAGGCACACACACATAGACACATACACACACACACACATAGACACACACACACATAGACACACAGACAGACACACATAGACACACACACACATACACATACATACAGACATAGACACACATACATACACACACACACACACACACACACACACACACACACACACAGAGATTGGAACCGGATTGGGATATAAGAGATTGAAGTGACGTGGTGTGCGAGCGGCAGAAGATTTGTCTGACATTCGTTATCCAGAGAAGTGTAGAATGTATGTCGTGTTCCCGCTATAAACCCCGACATTTCCATCTGTCTTCTCAGCCCTGGAGCGTCTCCTGACCGAGCTGGAAGATTTCCTGCGCGTCCTGGACAAGGAGAACCTCAGCAGTGCCGCCATCCTGAGAAAATGTCTCCTCTCCGAAATCCTCCAGATGTACGTCAAATCCAACAGCAGTAAGTACCAGCCGCCAACTGCTAGCGCTACCAACCCCCCAAAACACGAACCCAACACAAAGTAACAACCCGCAACACATGAACCCAACACAAAGTAACAACCCGCAACACATGAACCCAACACAAAGTAACAACCCGCAACACATGAACCCAACACAAAGTAACAACCCGCAACACATGAACCCAACACAAAGTAACAACCCGCAACACATGAACCCAACACAAAGTAACAACCCGCAACACATGAACCCAACACAAAGTAACAACCCGCAACACATGAACCCAACACAAAGTAACAACCCGCAACACATGAACCCAACACAAAGTAACAACCCGCAACACATGAACCCAACACAAAGTAACAACCCGCAACACATGAACCCAACACAAAGTAACAACCCGCAACACATGAACCCAACACAAAGTAACAACCCGCAACACATGAACCCAACACAAAGTAACAACCCGCAACACATGAACCCAACACAAAGTAACAACCCGCAACACATGAACCCAACACAAAGTAACAACCCGCAACACATGAACCCAACACAAAGTAACAACCCGCAACACATGAACCCAACACAAAGTAACAACCCGCAACACATGAACCCAACACAAAGTAACAACCCGCAACACATGAACCCAACACAAAGTAACAACCCGCAACACATGAACCCAACACAAAGTAACAACCCGCAACACATGAACCCAACACAAAGTAACAACCCGCAACACATGAACCCAACACAAAGTAACAACCCGCAACACATGAACCCAACACAAAGTAACAACCCGCAACACATGAACCCAACACAAAGTAACAACCCGCAACACATGAACCCAACACAAAGTAACAACCCGCAACACATGAACCCAACACAAAGTAACAACCCGCAACACATGAACCCAACACAAAGTAACAACCCGCAACACATGAACCCAACACAAAGTAACAACCCGCAACACATGAACCCAACACAAAGTAACAACCCGCAACACATGAACCCAACACAAAGTAACAACCCGCAACACATGAACCCAACACAAAGTAACAACCCGCAACACATGAACCCAACACAAAGTAACAACCCGCAACACATGAACCCAACACAAAGTAACAACCCGCAACACATGAACCCAACACAAAGTAACAACCCGCAACACATGAACCCAACACAAAGTAACAACCCGCAACACATGAACCCAACACAAAGTAACAACCCGCAACACATGAACCCAACACAAAGTATTTCCGTTTTCATTGCACACCTTATTTTAGACTCAGTGATGTCATCACTGGGGTCTCCGTGCTTCTCTATACAATGCAGGTAGATCATGCTTGGTTTGAGGGGCCGGCAGGGTGATGCACATAGCTTCCTGAGAACATCAGCCTCAGTACTTGTATACCTGATGCATGTGGCCACGGGCAGAGGAGGAAGTTCATGGGGGGGGAGGGGCTACTCCATATGAATGGTTCTGGAATGGGATGAGCAGTCCATGTAGGTGATGGGTTCACAAACCTTTGCTCGTACATGGTGTATGTTCTCATGAATCGTATGTTTGTTTTCTTCACACGTATTATAAAGGAAACAGAAAACAGGAAGTTTTATTTACCTCCAAATGTTGTGTTTTTGGTGTTTTCAGTTTCTGCTCTTTTACCCGAAATTACTTCAGTTTTATGCGTCCGTACAAATCACTCCGACCTGAAACGTTCACATTCATTGTACGACGCGGGGACACCTCTGTCTGTCCGTAGAATCTCGGCGACCTGATGTGGGTTCGGCCCGGAAATAGTCTGTCGGCTCAAATCTGATACCCCCCCC